TACAAACACCCAGCTACAAATGTGGACCAAGGCAGAGGTGGTCAGCTCTGTTGCCACAAGAGAGATTTCATTTATTGAAGTAAAAATGAGACTACAAAATCTATTGGCTACTAAAAAATAATATTCTAACTGTATGCATATCAAAGGTTAAATACAAAATGCACCTACAATAGAAATTACACTGTAAAAAAACAGCACCCTGTGGGCTCAGAAAATTAAGAGCTCCCTTTAGCTAACAAGTGTAAATGTTATTTTCCTTTCAGTTTTATGATATTTGATGAATGCCATTACTAAGTGTGACCTCCGTACCCTTCAGTTATGTGATGAAAACACAGCAGGCCTTGTTTGAAAAGTGGTTTCAAAAAGGATTTTTAAATCAGGTGACAAACCTCAGTACAGCCTGCCATCAAACCTAACGCCTGCTCCCAACCTCACTCCCATCAGTCCTCCATCCCCTTACCATTACTAGACACAGCCCCATCATAGACCAGTTTTCTGTCGCCTTGTCTTCCAGTCACAAGCTGGGCAAGGGAATCAGGGAATAGCCTTTAAGTGCTTCTATGAAACACCATGTGGCCAAACCAAAGAGCCAAGAGCACTGCTATTTTACTGCCTCAACTCCTTTTGTTCCCAACCTCCAAATTTAAGTTCTTCCTGCAGATATATCTGGACTATGATTCAAATTGTAAATACAGTTACCTTTCTATTATATTTTCTCTTTGAGAAAGAACCATACACAATTTATAACCAATGCAAGAGGACAGGCTTTGTGGAAGTAAAAGTGAGCCTCCAACTAAACTTACCTCTAATTTCTTTTTCAGAAAAACCGGAACATCTTTTCCCATGCATTTCATCAGGTTTTGCAGAATAAAGATGTCTTTGATACTTGAAATGCGCTGCTCCACTAGTAACCTGACGAAGAAACACACACAAGAACTTTCCTCATTTCAGCAGAAACAGTAGGTACCCCCATTCTTCCTCACTGATGTACCCCTAAGTTAAAGCTGTAACTCCCTGCTCCTCTCCCACCTCCTTTTTTATGCAATATTGGCATAACTCTACATGATGTAGCTGCAGCACAGATATTTTACGCATAGAAATAATTTTATATGCTTTCTTAACATTATCCTGATAGATGAATGTTGTTGCTGATATATTAACAGCAGGGGCACCTGACCAGACTGCATATGTGACTGTGTAGATGTGAGTCCTGTTAAGCGTCAAAGAATTAACATCCTTCTGCAGAAAAAAAAATTGTATATTTTTATCTCAGAATCATCTATGTGCAGACAAGTTCTGAAACTGCCAGGAAACTCAGGAACGGACACTGACAACCATTTGTTGCAAGTGAGGAAAGAAAACAAACAAGCAGTGCTGGGGGCTGCAAGAACAGAAGGGGATATCGCAACACAGAGGGATCATAAGCACGAGATGAAGGAATTCTGCATTCCTAGCACCTACTTTTCTGTCTCAGAGAGCAGTATTGTAATTGTTCTGTCCAAACAACCCTTAAATATACCTGCACAGCTACAAATTATGAAGTGTCGCTTTCTAAGGCAGTGCACTGGTCTGAAATTCACCCCTGCAAATACGCAAGAGCTCCAGACATCAAGACAGAGAGAGAGCTGTAGATGGCTCTCCGGCTTTGCACCAACTTTTAAGGCACATCCACTTTCTCAAAGTAGAACCTGACCCAGGATCAAAAGTACTAATCCATGTCAAGTTTTGTGACAGCCTCAGTAAGAACAATCTTATGGGACTGAGCAGCTTGGTTAGTCACATAAATCGCATTGGCCCAGAAAAAGTTCACTACAGTCAAACAAGTTATTCTGATAAAGCACTACAGAGAAGGACTTTCTGGATGCAACTAGTCTTCATCCTAATTTTTACTTACTAAATTAAAAGAAAATATTCCCAGGCTGCTAAATAGCATTTTTAATAATGAAAAATCAAAAATACTTCAGAAAGTAAGCTAGTCTCACTACCTCCCATTTACACACAGATAAAAGAGGGATAGATATGTGAAGGGACTTAAAATCACAAAAAACCCACACTGGTGGAGCTGCAGCCAGAACACAATCCCCTGTGGACCAGACTAGCACCCTATACTACTGGAAGGCCTCCTGCCCAAAACTGCAAAGACAACGCCAAAAATCACTGTGTAGGACAGCTCTTATCTCACGTGATCGTTTAAATCCTAAAAGCACAATATGTATTCTATGCGCAGACATTCCCTCGATGATTTCTAACAGACATGTATTCAGACATTGAAATAGGAAGAACACGTGAAAGATATGTTTTTCTCACTGTAATCCAGCTTGAAGAGCGCTCACATTCTTGTCTTTATCCATCCCTGATAAAGTAGTTGCCAAAACGGAGACACATCGGTTATCGAGTTGATTGAGCTTCTCCTGTTAAAGTTTCCACAATGTCAGATTACTTCAAACCAACACCAGTTTCAGAAAAGTAAAACTGACCACTCTTAATCTGTACCTGTCTTTTTTTTTCCCCCTCAAAAGTCAATTCACAAGCTTTAATTCTGCAGTGACCCCCACAAGGACTCACATCAAATTCAGTTGATTTGAGAGGGGTAATGATTTTTGAGACTTCTCCTCTCTGTTAAATCTGTTAAATCAGGCAGTGGTTTCAAAAATGAAGGAGACAAGAAGTACACACAAATGAACTATGGGAACCCTGTTTCCATGGAACATCAGACTAAGCCAGGGACGTAACCCAGTTCTCTCTGATGCTGCACAGACCCCCAGAATTGCCCACGAGGTTTCAGCCCAGATTTAGGAGAAGGATCTTCACACTCACTTGGCACACTCTCAGCAAAGTCTGGACCAGGAGCGTGTTCTGGGGCACCCCGAGGTTCACCACGGCGTGCAGGCTGAACACCAGGTCCCCGCGCGTCATCCTGCGGGAGTCCCGCAGCAGCTGCTGGCACAGCTTGGCAAAGGCCGGGTGCTCAAAGATCAGCTGCTTCTCGTAGCGCTGCTGCTCCTCCGACATGTGTTTGAAGAGTCTCCATGCAGTGGTTAAACAGTTTGTGTAATGCTTGATGGAGACAGCAGACTCGGAAGCCAAGTCCAGCGCATCGCAAGGACAGGTGCATTTCCGGAGACTATTAAAGAACGGGTCATCATGATCCACTACGTGCTTCGCTTTGAAGCTCCCAGAATCATCCAACTTTTCAGCTTCCAAGGAGCTCTGGGAAGCCTGCTCACTCACCAAAGCCTCTGCACCTGTGCTAAACACATCCGTCTTTTGAGATAGAAATCGAAGTGATGATCCATGCAGAGAAGGAAAAATATTTAAAAATAACTCCCTGAAGTTCACATTTCCCAAGGGATCCCTGTATCTGCTAATCCATAAAATGTGTTTTCTTGTTGTGGCTGAAGATCTGGGAGTCAACACAGAACTGTACCTATGCAGGTATCTAACAGTATTTAACAAATAACTTATTCTCTTATTCATTTTTGCTAATTCCTCATGAATAGACTTGAAATACCAAGTCAAAATAAGGGATCCGATGAAATTCTACCAGTGGAAACAGTTCTGGAGGAAGTGCATAAGATCACTCATCTGTAAAAACAATTGAAAATTATGGGTTAGTTACCAGACTTTGAACTCCTAAAATGTCAACTGCCAAATCTATGCACTTTTACAGGAGGGGACAAGATTTGGGAAAAGATCCCCGGAAAATGAGGGGCTTTTATTCGGTCTCCTACATTTCAGCCAAACATCTCGGCACAAGGCAAACTCAGCCCGGGTGTCAACTGTTTCCTCCTCTTTGCTGCTCTAACCAAAAGCCCTGCTGGGAGGCACAGGCTTTTCCTAAGTGACGTTTCCAGGCAGACGCGTCTCCCGACAGGGCTCTGGAGGGTCCTCTTTAGCCCCGGGTAAGAGAATCCCGCCCGCGAGCCTGGCCCGACCTCCCTGCCGCCATCCGCCGGGAAAGCCGCCTGCCCGGCTCACCCGCGGGATCACTCCCGGGCCGGGGACACCAGGCAGGGAGAAGCCGCAGGGTTTCGGGATCGCTTCCCCCAGGCGCCAGGAGCGCTGCCCAGCGGAACAGGACGGCACAAGGGGACAGAGGTCTTTCGGCGGCTCCGCACCGGCTCGGAGCTCCCGGACGCAACGGCTGGGATCGCGCCGGGCCGGGCCGTGCCTGGCGCCGCTCGCACCAGCCGAGCCGTGCCGGGACGGGAGGGCCGGGTTGGGCCGTGCCGGGGCTCCCGGCGAGCGGCGGCCGCCGTTACCTCGCACGCGGCGCCACCGCCATGACACCGCCCGCTCCCCGCGCGCTCCCGGCAGGCCTCGCGAGAGGGATGGCGCGCGGCGAGGGACAAACTACCTCGGCGCGCGGCGCGTTGCTGCGCAACGCCGGAGCCACCGTGGGGGGGCGGCGCGCGCATGGCCAAGTTCGTGGTGGCGGGTGAGGGGGGACCCGGGACCCGCGCGGGGCAGCGCCTCGTACCGGCACCAGGGACCCGGGGCGGCCCCGGCGGCACCGCCTCGTACCGGCACC